ATGTCATGTAAACAAACAAAATTATGAGCAGCAACAAAGGGAGCACCGGAGTGGAGGTTCATATATTTGTCCATTTAGGTTTAGGATTCCTGAGTAAAGAAAAGTTGAGAATCACAATGCTATTGTATCTTCTGACAAGCTGGTAGTTACATATGCAAGACAGAATTACTACTGAGCACAAGCAAGCACACTTATGTAAGTAAACATAGCGCTTTAAACTACTGTAAGAGTCAGATACTATTCTTTTGAAACTGACAAAAAATTTCTACAATTAACTGTGACAAAGTTGTAGGACTTCATTAGACTGAAAAATGAGGAAGAACAAGCCATTTATGCATACACAACTCAGTGTGGGATAGATTAACTTTGTGTATAAATGTTTGCTTATTAGTGCTAATATTTTTAAAATGTTATGTTTATTCTCTATAATATACAAACAACATGATTTTTTATTTTTACATTTTTCTTGTGCTATAATCTAATGGTCTGGGAAGTTTCTCACATACTTCATGCTCTTTAAACCTGTGTTATGATTAACTGCATTTTTAAAATGAGATTTTGGAATGTGCTTCTAAAGGGCAACACAGAACTCACAGCCCAGTGAAAGGGACAGGATGGCCAAGCATTTTTAAGTGATCTTTGATTGTGCAGAAGCCATGGTGTATATGTAGATGCTGTGAGTAGCCAACTTTTGGTACTGGGCCCTGCTTCCCAAAAAACTACAGTGTAGGGGGGCTATCTTAGTTCCTGCATCACAGGGATTTCTCCTGTCATATCCAGTGTTTTTGTAGTTTCTTTGCTCTGATTTAGCATTTTTCCAGGTGCAAAGAATTGGAGGGTTGAGAATCTCACACAGTATTTTCCACCTCCAGTGGAAATTCCACTGAAATGCAGAATGCAACATTTACTTACTTCAATAGAAGTACAAAACATTCACAGCATGCCTCTAGCTGCTTATGACTTGGTGGACAAGAAGCTGATAAAAAAATAAAAAAGGAGATATTGAGAAACTAAAATAGAGTACCACCAGAATATTACACAACTGTGACAGAGAGCTAAGGATAAACTTACCTACTAGAAATGGTGCCAGAATTACACTTCTCCAAGCTCGATTAAGGCAAGGAATCTATTGAAAGTAAATATATTCTTAAAATAACACCCATAAAATTCACAAATCTTTACAATATGGAATTTTTAAAAATGTTACTTATTTTTAAACTGAACTTTGGACTAAAGTAACATCAAGTATTATATTCTACATTACAGAATTTAAGCTGTAGGATTTTGAAAAGGGAGTTACTCACCTCGTGCAGTAACGAGTGTTCTTCGAGATGTGTGTCCCCGTGGGTGCTCCACTGTAGGTGAAGGGTTGCCCTGAGCCGCAGATCGGAGCTTTGTATAGCAGTTTCCCCTGTTGAGCCATGCATGCCCAAGAGGCGTCTTGAGCCCTTCCCGCCTCCTGAGGAGCGTGACTCAACCCCCTCCCTTTCAGTTCCTCGTCTCCGCCCGAGAATTTTGACTCCGAGCAGAGGGGAGGTAGGGAGGGTCGTGGAGCACCCACGGGGACACACATCTCGAAGAACACTCGTTACTGCACAAGGTGAGTAACTCCCTTTTCTTCTTCGAGTAGTGTCCCCGTGGGTGCTCCACTGTAGGTGACTACAAAGCAGTATTCAATGTAAGGCTGGAGGGAGCCGGAGTCATTGTTTAGCAGTGGTGGAGAGCACTGCTGTGGCAACTGCTGAATCGCTCTTGAGTTGAGGAAGGATAGCGTAGTGTTTAGCAAAAGTATGGTCTGAAGACCATGTTGCTGCTCGGTAAATGTCTCTTAAGGGGACATTGCCCAGAAAGGCTGTAGAAGCGGCCGTGGCTCGAGTAGAATGCGCTCGTGGTGGGCATTGTAGCGGTCTATTGCCCAGAGAGTGACATTTGATTATACATGTCGATATCCACTTTGAGATTCGTTGCGATGATATTGGTGTCCCCTTGGATCGTTCAGCAATGGAAATAAAAAGTCTTTCGGATTTACGAAATGGTTTTGTTCTTTCTAGGAAGAAGGCCAGAGCCCTCCGGATGTCCAGAGTGTGCAGGCTGGCGTCTGTCTGCGAAGAATGCGGTTTTGGGAAAAAGGTAGGTAATACGATCGGTTCGTTGAGATGGAATTCTGTATAGATCTTTGGCAAAAACGTGGGGTGGGGTCTCAGTATGACCCTATCCTTTGTGAAAACTGTGTAAAGACAGTGCTCTGAAGCGGCACCGCAGTTTGAAGTGGCGCCGGCTTTTCATGCCGTGCCAGCTGCTTAGAGTGCTCCCGGGGCCGCTCAGCTGTTGGGTGCCCTGATACCGGCGCAGAGTGGGAGGATTGCCCCGAAGCCTTAGTGGTAGGGGACTTCCCAGCCTGGTGTGCCTCTCCTCTATGTTTGGGAGAGGAAGAGGCTGGAAGAGAGCGGGATGGAGAGGCTCTGGGTCTCGGGGCATTTTTGGAAGGTGGCGGAGGCTCTTGCTGCGGTGCAGATTGTTCTCCCACAGGCTGTAGAGCTTTTTCAAATAAAATCATCCTGAGGCGGAGCTCACGGTCTTTTCTGGCTCTCGCCGTCAAGGAATTGCAGTGGGTACAGTTGTGAGGAGAGTGGGTCTCCCCCAAACACTGTATGAAGTCCAAGTGGCCATCTGAAGCCAGCATCGGGTCCCGGCATTGACCGCACTTTTTAAAACCTGAGGAGCCGTAGACAGGCTGAAAGGTAGGACCTGATATTGGTAGTGATCCAGGCTTACCATGAACCTTAGTAATCTCCTGTGTTTTTTTTTTTTTTTTTTTTTTTTTTTTGTCAAGTCTTTGTGTTTCTTGTTTGACAGGCGGGAGAAAGCCGGTTCACTGGAGTCCCGGTCTGAGGTAAGTTCAAGCCCTGAGGGGGGGATTTAATTAAATCTGTTTTTCCTATTTCTAGTTTTTTTTTTTTTTAAATAAAGAAACAAGGAAAGAGTAACTAGGATAACAGGGGAAGCTAACTATGCCTAAATAACTAAGAGGAAAGTAGTCAGATAATCTGACAGGGAGCTCCTGACTGCTCTGTCCGCTGACGAGGGCGGTTAAAGAGGAACTGAAAGGGAGGGGGTTGAGTCGCCTCCTGAGGAGGCGGGAAGGGCTCGAGACGCCTCCTGGGCATGCATTGCTCAACAGGGGAAACTGCTATACAAAGCTCCGATCTGCGGCTCAGGGCAACCCTTCACCTACACTGGAGCACCCACGGGGATACTACTCGAAGAAGAACATTGGGTTCTTGGAAGTCTGCCTTTTGTTTTTAGACTGCATGGCTCCCAGAGGCAATGGCATTAGATGCTATTTAAATCTCTAAGTATTAGACTTCCAAGTTAGTCTTTACCATCCTCCTGACCTTGCAGGATTGAGCTAAACAAAATAAAGTTACTAGCAAATTACAACTCCCTCAAAATAAGGAAACAATGACAAAATTTTAAACTACTGTAGAAACTAACAATTACATTTAATGGCAATAAAACTCAGTATCACTTATTACAGAATATTTGAGTATTCTAAGTATTAGACTTCCAAGTTAGTCTTTACCATCCTCCTGACCTTGCAGGATTGAGCTAAACAAAATAAAGTTACTAGCAAATTACAACTCCCTCAAAATAAGGAAACAATGACAAAATTTTAAACTACTGTAGAAACTAACAATTACATTTAATGGCAATAAAACTCAGTATCACTTATTACAGAATATTTGAGTATTTATGTCTAGCACTTTCCATCAACAGATGATAATTTTTTTTTTTTTTTACAAAAATGTAAGTATCATACCATTTTAGATGAGGAACAGAGGGCAAGCACATATTCCTAAGATGTAACATACCTGCCATAATGAAGGTACTCCAGTAATTGCTATGAGAACTTTTCTTAGGTAATGAATCTGAAAGATAATTATTTAATTAAAAATGTCTTAGTATAAATTTACAAAATACAAGAACCTGCAAGATTAAATTATATTTATGCTGTTGGCATTAAATTGTGAATTTGCAGTTCCTAAATTGGACAATCCAAGCAAACTTTAATAGTTTATATTAGGGATGTAGGCGACTGGTCGAGTTGCTACTTCACTACTCACTTTCCCCACCTCTTGCTGCTTCTGGGGAGTAGGAGCTGGTGCTAGGGGAACTGGCTTAAAAGCTTGCTCCCCCAGCAATGTCTCTGTGGTGGTGGGGAGCTAGAGCCACAGGGTCCCAGGGGTGGTACAAGCTAGGACTGTTCAGTCCCAGCTCATGTTGCCCCAGGAGCTAACCCCACTACGGCTCTGCAATTTAAATGTAGTAATAAGAGCCCTTTGGGTTCTTACCACATTTATAGTGTAGAGCTGCAGTGGGAGAGCTCCTCCCCTTATCGACTAATCGAGCAGTCGATGGAAATTCCATTGACTACACGATTAGTCAATTAACCAATAGTTTACATCCCTAGTTAATATTACAAAGAAAATAATGTTATCAATGTATCCTGCATCTCAGTAAGATGAATGTAACATTTTATCTGTTATGTCTATATCTGGTGGTGAAACAAAATACATTATGCTGAAATTGTTTTCCTCATTTGTGATTACCATGTATGATTTGAACTCCTACAACTAACTTTGAAAGGAGTCATTTTCCAAAGTTAATATGCAAAGTAATTCAAGCTCTACATTTTTTCCATGCAATAAATTAAAAAACAAAATACGGACCCCTCAAAAATGTATAAATTCTCACTGCCAACAACACAAAAATAATCATTCACAGATAAGACAGCAATAAACCACAGTAGACTTATACAGACCGACTGAATGGCATTCTGAGATGTACATCTACAGCATGCTAGATGCTAGCTATCTGTTTCCCTAGGCACTGTGCACTAAAATAGTTTGTTAGTACACTTTGATGTACTCCATTGTTCAATACCTATAAGTCATTTTAATTTCAGCAATTAGAGGGTGATGGGCCTAGTATTTGTTTTGCATTTGTTTGCATACACAGTTGTCCAATGTAGCATCTCCTTCATGTTTCTATGAACATCATGTTTAAAATATTACCTAAAAGTTTCTTACCATGTTGAAATCAAGTAGTTTATGCAGTAAGTCACTCCAGAGTTGAGGATCATACACCTTATATTCTAAACTAAGTTCTGTCACCAGTCTAACAACCTAAAGCAAGACAAGACAAACTGAATTATTTAAATTATATTATCTTTGATTCCTCTGTTGATTTCTAGACAGAGTTATTTTAGAGAGTTTTGTGGTCTTATACAGACTTTGCTTATACAGACTTTCATGTCTCCATGATTGAGACATAACCCCAACGCTGATTTAGACACACAAGGAGGATGTTAGCGTTTAAAAATCCCCACATTTTTATTTGATGTGTTGGTGCTTCTTCTACAGGTTGAACCTCTAAAATCTAGTCTGGTAGGACCATGGATGTTTCTGGACCAGAGAGCCCCAGCTGGCCAGGTAGAAGCACAGACTGGGCTGGCAGTGAGAAGCACATCCGCAGTAGGGTTGGCGCGCTGGGGAGCACAGCCTTAGCCAGGGCTGATGGCAAGAAGTGCAGCCCCAGCTGGGGTTGGAGGCAGCAGGGCCAACAGCTCGGGACATAGCCTCAATCAGGGCTAGCAAGGTGGGAAGGGGTCATGAAATGCAGCCCCAGTCAGGCTAGCACCGGGCAGGAGGGGAGGCTAGAGGCAGCAGCAGGTAGCAGGGAACGCAGCCCCAGATGGGAGCAGAACACAGCCAGGTAGGGAGCCTTTACCTCCCCTTGTCCAGCACTCAGGTCCCGAGGGTGCCGGACAAGGGAGGTTTGACCTGTATTAGGCTCATCTGCTCTCTTATTTCCATATTTTGAACTGTATTCTATGCCTCTCTGCTGAAGATCTGGCCATGTCCATCTTACAAATATTAAAACAGAAGTATTGTCATTGAACCTTTCCTCAGTAGGAGAGTGTCCTTTCTGCATATGTACTAATTTTCTCCCAGAAACCTGCCTCTGATTAATCTTCAGTTATTTAACTCAACTCTTTAAAATTATAAATGGTGTACTGGACATTTTAATGTAACAAATCATTGGATGTAAAAACAAAACATTAAAAATGAAGATATAAACAAGGTGTAGTTAAGGCTCCATTGCCAGTTAACATAGTGATTTAATAGTCAGTTGATTAAAAGGTATATAGCTATCATACTCTGCTATTTGTATAAAGTAGAATAGGTTTTTACATTAAATTATGCACATTTTTGCAGGCTGTTTAAAAATATCAGCAGGCAATTAAAGCCTAAAAGTGCACAAATCATACAGTATGAATGCATGTGTGCACCCAAAAACGTACAATTGTTCACACATCTATACCATCAATGTACTGTCTCTTATTAATCATACCTTGGGTTCATGGCTATGGTTTTTCCATAGTCCTCTAATTATTCCTTCTTTAGGACTCTCATGAAAGGATTCATAGGTATATGGAATGTTCAGTGTTTCAAACTCTGCCAGGAAAATGAGGCATTTCAGAAAATACCTGCAAAAACAGAAGTTGTGATACTTACAGTGACAGATATAATCCATGTAGTTCTGAAAGATTAGATTCAAACTTAGGATAAAAATAATTTAATGCACTATTGGCTAAAAAAGAAAAAACAGTACCAATATCAACTATGGTCTTAAGAAAGCAAGTTTATTGGACACAACATTTTTCTAGGAACTAAAAAATTATTACAACTCTTATACTAGAATCTCACTCACACAGATGATCAGAATTACAGATATATAGAGGTACACTGTATTATGCATTCTAGACATTTGATATGGATAAAGGCCCTTGCCCCAGATTAATAAGAGTTATCTATAATCCAAATTCTCAAAAGGAGTTGGAAAGCATGGCACTACAGCAGATAATACCTTAAAAAAATTATAATCATTCAATTTTTCTGCAGAGGTGAATCTGCTCCCAAAATACCCAACTTTGGTTTCTACTAACTAAGGAGAAGTTGTATATCCAAGACACAATCTCTAATGAGACTTTGAATGCAAGGCCCACAGACAGTGAGAGAAACACTTCAAATATTACAAAAATAACTCTAGTCCAGTGTTTCTCAAATTGTGTTCCACAGAACCCAGGGGTTCCGCGAAGTGAAAATAGGGGTTCAGCGAGAAAATTCCATTACAAACTAAATTATTGTAATGGAATGGAATTTTCACTCATTTATGAATTTTATTGAAAACAATTTTCATTTGTGTTTGCCACGATAAGTGTCCCTATGTAATTCCAGCTTAGCCAGAGAGTGGGGATGATGATGTCACTATTCAGCTCTGCGCACACAGTCAGCAGTTCTGCAAAATTCTTTCAAGTTCAAAAGGGTTCCGTGGCCAAATAAAATTGGGAAACACTGCCCTAGTCTATATAAACAGGGTAGTTAAAATCAACTTTGTGCCCACAGACATCATAGAAATTTCTCAGTCAGTTGAAGAGTGAAAAATGGGCACTGTGATGCAATATTGTATAATATATGCAAGATGACTCCAGGTATGTGTTTCTTGAAATAAGTTTTAAAAACAGGGGAGAAAGGAAAACAAATTAGTAAAAAATAAATCAGCAAAAGCATTTTCCTGAAAATTAAAAACAAAACAAAAAACACTTCTGTCCTAAGAAGTTTATGGAGGCATAATTGGATTTCACTGGAATAATTTCCAATGCAGAAAAAAATCAGCTTACTTTACTTGCTCAACAGATTTCTTAAAGAGTGATTCAACCATACATGAATCTGCCATATAGATTAGACACTTAAGAGCTCCGCTTCTCTGGGCAAATGTCAACTGGTTCACACCAATAGGCTGAAAGATAAAGAGAGAAAGAAAAGGTAAAGAACACCTCTTTTTTGAATAATAACAAAGCTGGATTTTTAAAATGTATGTACATCCTAACATTCATAGACTCTAAAGCTTCAGAGGGGTAGCTGAGTTAGTCTATAACTGGAAAAACAAACAACAAATAGCCTAGCAGCACCTTAAAGACTAACAAAACATATAGATGGTATAATGAGTTTTTGTGGGCACAACCCACATGGGTATGAATTAAGATCAAATTTTGTATCTGTGCAGGTCTCTACCTAAAAGAATTTGTTGTTCAGTTAAAATATTGGTTGACATCCAAGGCATATTGCAGGGCCCATTTGATTTTCCAGTAACATTCTAAAAGCCTGAAGAGATTAAATAGTTATGGCCTAACATACTGAGGGTTTCTTTTGTTATTGTTTTTTTAAATTTGCAAGGACTGCTGATTCTTATGATGTGGAGAAGGAAAGAAACAATTACTCACCTTGTGCAGTAACTGGTATTCTTCAAGATGTGTGTCTCGGTGGGCACTCCACTGTAGGTGTCTTGATGCCCCAATGCTTGGAACTGGAACTTTTCAGCAGCAATACCCGGCAGTGTGCACACACAGCACAGCTTGCACCATAGCGAACATGCTAACACACGCACACTGTCAACCGCCCATCCGTTCCTTCTCTACCGTGGAGAGATGTTGCAACTCCAAAGCAGAGGGGAGAAGAGTGGATCATGGAGCTCCCACAGGGACACCCTTCTCGAAGAACACCAGTTACAGCACAATGTGAGTAACCTTTCCTTTCTTCTTTGAGGAGTTCCCCCTGAGCAGTGCCCTCAGTCTCCCCTGAGAAGGGGAGACTTTGGATGAGGATGGTGACTGCAGCTAGCACCGCCTGCCTGAAAGCAGTGGACCACAAAGTGTAAGTGTCTATAGCATAATGCTTCATGAATGTATGGGTGGAGGCCCATGTCACTGCCCTATAAATATCTGCAATGGGCTCATTATGGAGATAAACACTGTTCTACAGCCTCTTAAACTTTTTAATACTGAGGAACACCAAACAATCTTTTTTTTTTTTTTTTTTTTAAATGAGGAACACCATAGATTTTTTTTTGTTGAGAAAAAAAGTTGCCTGCCCCTTTAAGGGTGGCCATTTTGAATTCTGTTATCCACAGCAAACCTCCGACTGCCTCGTCACAGAACATAGTTTAAGATACACTGCTGTAGACATGGCTCTGGTGGAGGGTACCCCGATTTGAGTCAGCAAAGGCACCTTATTAATGTAGTAGGATTCTTAATACAATTTATTATCCATTTTGAAATATCCTTTTCTGATATGACTTTACCCTTGGAATGGTCTGCTATAGAAATAAAAAATCTCAGAGGTTGTCTCAAAGGTCCAGTTCTAACTTAGTAAAAGGCAAGTGTACTAGACATCGAGGAAGTGGAGCCACACTACACTGGCATCCAAATGCGGCTTTTGATGAAAAACTGTTAAGTATATAGGTTCATTAAGGTGAAATTGGGAGATTACTTTTAGGAGAAACTTGGGGTGTGGTTTTAAAACTAATTTATCTTTGTAGAAGATGGTTAATGGTGGATGCACAATGAGTGTGGCTAACTCACCCACTCTACTTGCCGTTGTGATTGCTAGGAGGAAGGCCACCTTTATGGACAGGTAAGTGAGGGAACATGTTGCCATGGACTCAATCGGTGGGTGGGTCAATAAGTTAAGAACAAGGTTGAGTCCCAAGGCAACACTGATGACCTTATGAGGGGAAATATGTTATTTAGTCCTTTCAGGAACTTTTTGATTATAGGATGAGAGAATATGGTGTGCCCATCCACAATCTTGTGCTCACTTGATATTGCTGTTAAATGTACCTTTACGGATGTATTGGAAAGGTTCTGCTTCTTTCAAAAGAGGAGGTAGTTTAATGTTACATTAGATATGCTGATTGTGGGTGTAGGGATTTTTGATCTTTCCACTTAGAGAAACATCTCCATACTGGGTATATGTTTTTCATGTCCTCTGGTTGCAACAGTTCATAATTATATCATGCATTTCATCTGCCCATGTGTGCTGTGGGTTACTCAGCCCTGTAGAAGCCAGGTACAGAGATGAAAAGCTTGTGACTATGTGGATAAAGAACTTGGCCCCGATCCTAAGACAGTATGTTTGGCCATTGTGGCAGAGGAAGGAATGATGCTGCCATCAACTAGAAAAGGTAAGGAAACCATGGTTGTCTGTGCCAGGCTGGTACTCCTCTCCGGGACGCTCAAGACGAGAAGTGCTTTTCCTACTACTGAGGAGGACCATCTGAACCTCTTGGGAACATTCCCTTTCAGGTTGGCTCAACCACAGATAAACCAGGCCGTTAGGTGGAGAGACCGGAGATCCAGGTGAACCATAATCCCCTCGTCCCAAGGTTGAGTTAGCAGGTCCTGGACTGGAGGGAGTGCTATTGGATCTTGGGCAAGCATGTCCACTAGGATGGGAAACCAGAACTGCCTGGGCCACCTGGGGGCTATGGGAATGATTGAGGACCGAAATGTCCTCACTCTGATCAACACCCTGGAAATTAGGGGGAACGGGGGAAAAGCATAGAGAACGCCCTCTGGCCACACGGTCATCAGGGCATCCCCCCAGGGAATATTTCCCCAGCCCCAGCAGGGAACAGTAGTTCCGGCACTTGGCATTGTGTGCCGAGGCAAACAGATCTAGGCGGGGATAACCCCACCTGCGGAAAACCTGACGGAGAACAGAGTCCTTGAGCGACCACTCGTGGGCTCCAAACGATCTGCTCAGCAGGTCTGCTAGCAGGTTTTTGCACCCCGGGAGGTATTCCACCTGCGGTGTGATATCATGCGTGACACACAGGTGCCAGAGTCGCAGGGCCTCTTTGCAGAGGGGAGGCGAGCGTGCCCCACCCTGCTTGTTGAGATAAAATACCGCTGCTGTGTTGTCCATACGAACCAGGGTCGAGCGGTGAGAGAGCCTTGGCAGAAAGGCTTCGCAGGCTCTCCTCACCGCCCACAATTCCTGGATGTTTATGTGCAGGGTTCATTCGGAGGGGGACCAGAGGCCTTGAGTCCTGTGGTGCCCCAGGTGTGCCCCCGAGCCCAGGTCGGACACATCAGTGACCAGCGTAAAGGAGGGAGGAGGGGCACTGAAAGGAACCCCACTGCATACCACAGTTTTCTGGGTCCACCATAGGAGGGAGTTAGGGTTTCTAGGGGCACTGTAATTATTGAGTCCCAAAGACCCCTGGATTGGCTGAAGGCCTTTGCCAACCACGCCTGCAGGGGTCTCATTCTCATTCTGGCATGGCACACCATGTACGTGCATAAAGGACCCTGGAGCAGACCCAAGGGGTCATGATAGGGGACTGAATTAACCCTGAGATCAGCTCCACTATGGAGAGGAACCTGCTCTTGGGCAGGAACGCTCTTGCCACCTTTGCGTCGAGGAGGGCTCCCACGAATTCTATCTGCTGGGAGGGGGCCAGCGATGACTTTTCGATGTTTATCATGAGCCCCAACCTTAGGAAGAGAGCTCTTGTGAGTGCCACGTGAGCTTCTACCTGCTCGTACGAGCGACCTCGGATCAGCCAATTGTCGAGGTACGGGAACATGTGCACCCCCTGTTTGCGGAGAAATGCGGCAACCACCGCCATACATTTTGTGAACACTCTTGGTGCCGTACATAAACAAGAGGGGAGCACCATAAACTGAAAATCCCACCATAAACCTGAGGAACCTCCTGTGGCTGGGTATGATCGCCACGTGGAAGTACGCGTCCTTGAGGTCGAGAGTTGCGTACCAGTCTCCTAACTGTAGCACTGGAATGACCGAGGCCAAGGTCACCATTCTGAACCTGTGTTTTATGACCGCCTTGTTTAGATTTCGGAGGTCCAAGATGGGACGGACTCCTCCCTTCGGTTTGGGGACAACAAAATAACGGGAGTAAAAACCCCTTCCTCGCAGATGCAGAGGAACCTCCTCTATTGCCCCTTTTTTGAGGAGAGCAGACACCTCCGGTCACAGGATGTGTTTGTGAGGGGTGTCCCTTACTAAGGACGGAGAAGGGGTTTTTGAGGGCGGTGGGCCCAGGAATGGGATAGAATAGCCTCCATTTACTATGTTCAGAACCCAGGCATCCGATGTTATTAGAGCCCATGCATGGGCAAAAAGGGATAGCCTGGCCCCAAACGGGGGGCCAGGACGGGAGACTGGTACGGGACTCTCGAAAAGGGCATCAAAATTGGGGCTTGCCCTGATGGGAAGGACCATGGGGACCTCCCCACTGAGTATTGGTCATGGGGCGACGATGTCAACCCCTTGCCCCCTAGGGGTGTGCAGCCACCTCGGAACCTCAACCGGAAGCCCGGGAGCGGCGCCTCCAGTAATCCCCATGGGGGACCTGGGGCTGCGCTCTACCCTGCTGCCTATAGGGCAGCTGCCAACGCTGCGGGGCAGGGGTGTGGATGCCCAAGGACTTTAACGTGGACCTTGTGTCCTTCAGGGTATGGAGCCTAGAGTCAGTGTACTCTGAGAACAGAGTTTTGCCCTCGAAAGGCAAGTCCTGGATCGTATTTGCACATCCGGGGGAATTCCTGAGACGTGCAGCCATGCCCCACGACGCATAACGACGCCAGTCGCCATAGTGCGGGCTGCCGAATCAACGGTGTCCAATGATGCCTGGAAAGCGGTTCATGCAATGACTTTGCCCTCAGAGGCAATGGCCGCGAACTCCTGACGGTCCTCCGCTGGGAGTCTGTCTCTGAACTTTTCGACGGCCTGCCAGGTATTAAAAGCATACCGACTTAGCATCACCTGCTGATTAGCGATGCGGAGTTGTAGTGCCCCTGTGGCGTAAACCTTACGGCCCATCAAATCCAGCCGCTTAGGCTCTCTTGCCTTTGAGTCTTTCCTTTTGGGCCGCGGCCTGCACGACTAAGGACCCCGGGATGGGTTGTGAATACAGGTATTCATGCCCCGAGTGCGGGACGTAATAACACCTCTCGACTCCTTTTAAGGTAGGGGTCAAGGTTGCTGGCGTTTGCCACAGGGCATTAG